TCTGTTCTGTACTATAGCTCTTTAGATCTTTTTACTATTTAATAAATAAAGAAATAAGCTTTATTAAAATTAAAACTAAAAACTATCTCAATTAATATAATTTATTTATAACAATTAAGTAATTTATCTTAACATTATTCACGTAAGAAAGTATTTTTATATTAGTATTTTAAGAAATATTTTTAAACTAATTTAAGAATATTTCAATTTATTTATAGTAATTTATTTTTATTTAAAATATTTTTTTAGTTTATATAGTTTGTAATTCAAATTAAGATTAATAAAAATTTATAATTAATTTGAAAATAATTATTTATAATATTTTTGCTATTTTAAAATTTGTAATTGCTTTAAATTAAATATATTTTTTTAATATTTAATATAAAATAAAATTTTATTAATATATAAATATATTAACAATTAAAAAAAATAAACTAACAAAAAAATTGAAATTTTTATCTTATATAAAAGTTTTTTTATTCCAACATAAAATGTTAAAAATTTCAATTCATTACTTTTAACACGAAATTTTGCAAAATTTTACTATATTAATGTGCTTTGTAATATTAAAAAAACTTGTTTCTAATATTTCAAAGAATATATTTACAAATTTTCACGATTTTTGATAATTTCTATTAAGATATACGCAAAAAACATGTTCACTATTACTTTCGTTGGAAACTTATATTTATTAATAATTTTGTTATTCCATTTTTTTGATTTCTTTTATATATTTATTAGATATTTTTTCTATTACAAGCTAAGCATATTAGTTTAAATTAAAAATACTTTACTTAATACTAATTAAATTCAATTTGAAGATTAATATTATTTTTATTATTAATTTAGCTTTAAATATATTATATCAATCAATTAATATTATAAACTCAAAAATTAATAATAAATTTGATTAATTTTTTCTGACTTGAATATAAATTATTATGTAATAATTAAAAATTTACTATAAAAAATCAAAGCACTTTTAAGTTAGCTTAAAAGTTATTTGAATAATAATTTTTAAAATACCATAAAGAATATTTAAACACATTCTATTATACTATTATTACTAAATATACTTTTTTTAATAAATTTGAATCTTTAATATTATTCAGAAATTTGATTTTTTTTCAAAAGTATTAGAACCATAATATATATTTTATTTAAATTTAAAAAGTTTAATAAATAATAAAAAATTCTTTAATTTGTTATAATTTTTTATTAATTAAAAAATTATTCTTGAAAAAATCTTATATGGTGTATTGCATTATATAACTGCTAATTGATATTCTTTATCTAGAAAAATAATTATCTTGTTATATTATTATTTGAAAAAAAGTTTTTCAATCAAGTATTATTTGAATAAAACAAAAAAAAACTGATAGCTTCAAGAATTTATTCAAATCTGGTTGGCCACATTTTTACAGATTACAATAAACAAAATGTTGTTCATTTATTTTAATTCCAAAAAGAAAAACTAAAATCTGATGATAAAATCTAAGAATTATTTAATGATGACTTGTTGGAAACAATACAGTATGCATACAACAAATAAATATTACATTTTAACAGGATAATTATCTTAAACACACTGCTATTAAAACTAAGAAATGATACTATTACTTGAATGACCATTACGATTTCCTGATCTCAATTCCATAGAACATTTATGTAATGAGGTTGATAGACATTTGAGAAGATTTTGACATGAATATATACACAGAACAAGTTGTAGGAATCAATTCAAAAGGTGTGAATTGATATGGGTAATGAGTTTTTAATGCGCTTAATAGAAGTATGCCAAAACGCACACAAATGCCAAAGGGGGGGGGGGGGGGATACTAGATATTGATAAATATTTGTGAAGTTTTTGTGGATAATGTAGTTTTTAACTTTCGTGCAAACAAAAACGGCTCGCTAGATTTCACGTAAAATTTTATTAGTTTGCCTTGTGATTTATAAATAAACACGATGAGTCTTATATTTGGAGTTGTGTGTGAAAAGTTGTTGGATTACAAAATTTATCTTTTGTAAACATTCCCAAATTCGAACGCGGACGCAAACAATAATTTCTTGTTCAAAGATGGATTATGGAGTCCAAACAGCATCGCTGAATCAGCCAACTGTTTGAGAATTTTACTATTTTCATCCTAATGAACAATATTTTATTTTACATTCTACTCGATATCGCGATAGAGGCATTTTGCAGATCTCAAAACATTTGAAATACAATTATCACTGTCGCTATCGCTATGTAACGGTGAAGTACCCCTTATCGTTTTAACGTTGAACAATCAAGCATGGCGATAACGATGGATAATTCAATTTACTTTACCCCCGCTTTCAAAAATGGTACGCGCAAACAAACCAGCCCGAAGACTCAAAAATCGCGACGGCAATGGTTATTCATTATTTGGAACATACCGATACACATAATATTTATAGTGTTTAGTACCTGTCAAAGGATGGGGGATACTGTAACCAGTGCTTTATGGTAATTAGATAGTAATTCCAAGTCCCTTCAGAAAAAAGAATGTTAATATTTAATACTACAGTTTCTTGCTTAATGAGTTAATTTATTGTTTGCGAATTATCCATTTAAAATGTATCACCTAGAATTAAAAGCAAATGAAAATTATAGAGAAAATTGTAAAGATTGAAGATATTGAGCTGACAACGTATCGGGTTAAAAGACCAAATCTTGCCATATCGATATATCGAGAAAAATCATTTGTACCAATCTTTTATATCGTTAAGCGGTTGTTACACCGCAAGTATGCTTTCGAGAAGCCGTGGAGAAAAATTACCAATACGTATGCATCTGAATCGTTGACTTTGTACTTAACAAGCTGGCATAGGTGTAGAAAGAAATCTTAAGAAAGCCATAGAATGGCGTAACTGGGCAGCGAGAATTCTGTATCAAATGGAATATACATCTGCTTGTCGTCCTAGCAAAATGCTTCATGCACAAGACGCGATAGGTGAAGTGTTTCTCTTTGCGTTGAAATGAACAGTATTAACGATATGAATATAAATTAAATTCTTGCATTATACATATGTATTATTTTCTATCATTAGTAATATTATGCATTTCTTTTCTATTATTAGTAATTACATTATTCATTATCAAAGTAAAGTATATATAAAAGGCCTATGTATTATGTTTTTACAGCAAGAGAATTCGTCGGATCAAATATCGAAGGACTTTGTCTCTGCTCGTGTTGTTGTTGTTGAAGATCTTCTAATTCTTTTTTTCGTTTCTGTTCTTCCTTTTCAAATTTTTCGCGTAATTTTTCTTTTTTTCGTTCTAAACTCGCTAGATATGCAGCCTCTTCAAATTCTTCGAGAATCTCTTCGTTTGTTTTTTCTCTTTCTGGTGATTTTTGCTGGTATAGAATAAACCATTCAGAATTAATTAATTAGAATTTGAATATGATTTCAAATTTGATTATTCAAATAGTGAAATGGTGTTTATTTACATTACTATCATTTTCTTTCTTGTCCGACGTTTGATAACCAGGTTTTAA